CCTCAAATATAGTTATATAGATTATATATATATATAACTATATATAGATTATAGTTATATATATATAGATAGATAGATTATAGTTATTGGCTTTATAAGATAAAAAGTCAAATCTCATAATCTGCAGAAGTTTTGTGTACAGTTTTGTTTCCACAACTCAAAAGAGGGTAGAATTAGAAGATTCAGCCAAAAAGTAACTAAAATTATCAAGGCTGTAACAGGTGAACAAAAAAGTTTATTACCTCAATGGCAGATACAGGTCAAAAAAGAGTCTTCAAGAATCTAAAATCTTCAAGAGCTCAAATTATATGTATAAAATGAAGTATAATTTACTTCATCAAACTCTAGAAGATACCAGTTTCTGCAAGTTGAGCTTTTGGATGGTAACAAGTTTTATAGAACATATTGTTCATAATCCCAGAATAAAAAAATTGCAAATGATGAAATGAGTCACCCTGCAGATGTTCAATACAGGGAGTGCTATGCATGGATCCATGAGAGATGTAATCTAGAGAGACAAGGCACTCATTATTTTTGAAATAGCAATATTATTTATATACAATTTAATAGAAAGTTTCTTTTTAATACTGAGTCAATGTGGACCTCGGAAAACTTTTATCCTTCAATTCTAAGACAAAGCTTACCTCTGGAGTTTATCAGCATGGGTATATCTTCTTGCTATAGGAAACACAACTTTTTGCATATTTGACATGCTTATTACTTCGCCTTTTTAAGGAAACGTCTAAAGTCTTTTCAAGAGTTTCTCATATTATATGGTTTTAAGATCATTTACCATCTCAGTCCTCTCCTACAGAGTTCTGGTTTGTCAATGTTCAATCCTATTAAAAATGATATTATGGAAAGTCTCCCATTTCTAGATGATGGAATACGACCTCTGCCCTATGGTAGATTAAAGATGGGTGCCATTCTCGCTTTGTCCTCTCACTGAGAGGTGGAGTTTAATTCCCCTCTCTGAATCTCAGCAGGCAGGCTTTAGTGATCTCCTTGGTCAACACAATGTGGCCAAGGACTGGGATTTCTGAGGTTACGTTACAAGAAACCTTGCAGCTTCCATTTGGTTTTTTCAGAACACACGTTCTTGCAACTCTGGTGCCACAGCGTGAGAAAGCCCAAGAAGCCCCGTGCATAGTAACATGAGGTCCAAACTAAAAGACCAGCCAAACTCCAAGCCAAAAGCCAGAATCAACTTGTCAGTCATGGGAGTAAACCTCCCTGGACATAGATCCTCCAATTTACAGCCAAGCCATCTGTCCAAATTGCCTGTGTGTGCAATATAAATGGCCTTTGATGTTTTAAACTGCCTAATACTGGGGTTGTTTGTTACTCAAAGATAGATAACTGTAGCACTTCCAACCCCCTATCTTAATAACAACCCCAAAATAGAAACATGAACTCTCTTTGACGAAACTGGCATTAATCGATGAAGACAGGGCCAATGGAAGAAAAGGTTATACATGAGAGCCTGCAATGGAAGATATGGAAGAGAAGCAAAGGGATTTGCATTCTTCAACTCCAAAAAGGATCTTCAGCAGAACTGCAGAAGAGACCAAGTTAGGGCTGAAAACAGGAGGCTGTATAAAAAGTGGACTCCCAGGTCCACTCCTGCTTAGCAGAGACCAGTATCCTCCTGCCCTAGCCCCAGAGAAGATATCAGGTACGTCATCTCTAGACCGGGGGTGCCCGCCCTTTTGGCATCTCAGGGCCACACGGGAGGAAGAGTTATTTGGGTCACATTAAATACATCACGACACACAATCACAAGAAAACTCATAATGTTTTAAGTAAATTTATGATTTTGTTTTGGGCCGCAGGTTGGACACCCCTGCTTCTAGACAAAGTGAGCCAGAGGTTCTGGGCTCAGGACACGTTTGTACAGGTATCCACAGAATGATCACAAAGCAGGTTAAATGACAACTGACGTGGTAAATGAAGAACTCCAACTCCTCTTCCACCGCCTCACTTCAGAATGTCAGCTGCAAGATTTACATTCTCCAGGCAATAAATCAAGCATTCTTCACTACAAAAACAGAACTATCCCAAAGGAAAGATCTACAGGAACCAATGTACGGAGGTCCCAATAAATAAGGACGCCTGCTACTCCCACACCTTGCTTCCATACGTATGGCTTCCGTTCAGCTTCACGTGCCTTATTCAAGAATCACCAGGTTTTGAGGAAAAGCTTCTAACCGGAAGTGGAACAGGCAAAGAAAAAAAAAACAACAACAATGTCTGGAGTAACAGAAAACTTGAAGAAATGAAATACCTTCAAAAAGAGAAGATAAATCATTTCTTGGAAATATAATGCCAACTGCTTTTTGAAAAAAAATTGACATGGAAAAACATTTTAATACTAGAGTTAAAAGATAAAGTTGCAAAAATCACATACAAAGGAAAAGGAGATAAATATTAGGAGCAATATGATTAAATAAATTAAAATGTTGTGTGTTGGAGGCCCAACATTGAAATAGAAAGAATTCCAAAAAATAAGACTAGAGACTAAAGAGGATAAATTGACACAGAAAAAAAAAATACAAGAACTAATTGGCTCTAGATTGACAAATTTCCTGAGTGTCTAGCAGAATTAAAAGTAACAAAACAAACAAACAAACAAAACCCATACCACATATAATGACTCTAAAAGCTTCTATAGGGGAAAAAAAGCCTGGGCTCAGCAGGGCACTAACCCCATTAACATCAACACCAGAAGCTTGAAGCTGATTGAGCAATGCCTTCCAAATTCTAAGTTAGAAAATGGATTTTCAATTTAGAATCCTATATCCTGTTAACTGATTAAGTATGAATGAAGAAAACACTATTTTCAGAACTTTTCATCTACTCATCCTTTCTCAGGAAGCTACTGCAGAATGTGTTCAATGAAATTGAAGAGAGTAAATCATGAAAGAGTGAGACAAGGGATCCAAACCAAGAGACAAGCAAACCAAGAGACAGGCTTCTTGGCCCTGGTACAGAAGACCAAGAGAAGCCCAAGTCCAGGGTGGAGTGGGAGCATGGAGGACCTCAGAGTGACGACGCCGAGAGAAAGAATACAAAATTGATATCAGGTATTTTTATGGTTGTTACCAAGTGGAAGGTGATATTGAACGAGTCTTTACAGAGATGGTAGAAGGGAGAGAAGAAATAAACTATGCAAATGAAAAAATGTTAATTCCAAAGCAAAAAGCTTTAAAAATGGAAAATAATCAGGTTTTTAGTTGGTTTAACAGAGAACAATACTTGGCACCCAAGTCATAGCATAAAAATTTAAAGCTATAAGCCATCTTAGTTAGACATTTTCTACTTCAACTTGCTGACTACACATAGGTGCAAAAACATTTTTAAATGACATACGTTAGTGCCATAAACAACAGAGGTGTCAGCTGTCAGAAGTGGGGATACTCGCCATCTCTGCCTACGGATGGACATGGCTGCAGCGATTCTGGCATTTCTGAGCTCTGCTCTAGCTCTACTTCTAAGCATTTCAAATTGGGGAAGTAACAACGTCCAGATCTGCAGTTTTCTAGAAAATCTGAAGAAAGGTACATTTTCCACACTACCTCAGAGTAAACACAGGGTCAAATTTGATACTGGAATTTAAAAGACATTAAAAATAATTAAAAGTTGTTTATATTAGAAATAATTTTTAGTCTTAATATAAGCATTACGAAGTGAGATGGGCAGAGTATGCTGCTGACAGATAAGGCAAAGCAGACACAAGGACAATGGGCCATGCAGAGCAGATGTCCACAGCTCTTTGATTCATTTGCTTTATATTTAAATATTCTACAATCATACTTGAAAATTCGCTTCCAATTAAAAACTGTAACTATTCTTGGTTACCTTCCACTTAATAAAGCTTTTTAAAAAAGTTATCTATCATCTTGGCTGGTGCGCCTCAGTGGATTGAGCATCCGCCTGCGAACCGAAAAGCTGCCGGTTCAATTCTGTCAGTGCACACGCCTGGGTTGCCGGCCAGTTCCCCAGCAGGGGGCGTGTGAGAGGCAACCGACTACTGTTTCCCACCCTTCCCCCTTTCTAAAAATAAATAAATAAAATTTAATAAAAAAAGTTCATTTATCATTAAAATGGGTTTCTAGCCTGCCACCACGGTAATGGTTTTTTGGGTCTCGGATTCCACTGAGAAGAAAAATATGAACTCACTCTCAAAATAATGTATGCATGTTTACATAGGCATACATATTTACAAACACAACAACGGAACAATTTTTTCAAACAACTTCATAGATTAATGAATCTGGAGACTCAGTTAATAATATTCTTAGGAATTTTCCTGCAAACACTAAAACATCTATTTTGTAACATTAAAATACAGGCTGATACACAGTTTCTACTGAAATGTAAAAAAGCCCTTTTCCATTCACTGTTAAAGGATAACTCCCTAATTGTTCTTTCTTAAGTAGGAGTTTCCAAATAATTTCATCTAAACATGGTGAACTGTGAGGATGTCACTTTCAAAATACTAATTTGGAAGTCCTACTGGTTTAGACTCACAGCCTATTTGTCCCCCTTATTTATTCAGTGGTCTGCTTGGTACAACAGCAGGTCCTTGAATAACACTGTTTCCCTCAACATTGTTTCATTATGAGTTGTTTTGCTTAAAGTTGCAGAACCTATTGACAACATTAAATGAGGATTTACTGTGCTTATAAACACATAATGAACAAAGAATGTTTCAGCTCCTTAATCTCATTGGCAACATGAATTTACCATGGTTTTCCAGCAAGGTGTTTTAACTGAGTCTGAGTTGTCTTGTTGAATCTTTCTATATTTCTCTCTTCTAAGGTCAAGGTTATAATCACTTATATAGTTCATCTTTTCTGAATATTCTATCCCAAACCATGTATCACTTTGTTTTTATACTGGAAGCTTTCCTCTTCAGAGTAACAATTAACAATTTCACTATAATCATAAGCTCTTTAGGGATAATTATTCTATCTATTTTTTTCCCCCACTGTTCTTACTTGTGCAGTCTCTGCATTTTCCAGCATCTCTTCAAATTCTTGATACTCTTCATCATCTGGTTCAGCACCTGAGAGTCGGGCTGCTCTGGCCATAAAATATGGAGGCAGCTCTCCAATTGCTGTTCCGACACCCTGTGTGAAAAATCAAAGTACTCACATGAGATTCTGTTCTCAACATAGTGACACTAAACACATCAAATCTTTATTTTCTACATCACCAAAAACATATTAAGATGTATTTATTAGGGACCTGGCTGGTGTGGCTCAGTAGACTGAGTGCTGGCCTGTGAACCGAAAGGTTGCCAGTTCGATTTCCAGTCAGGGCACATGCCTTGTATGGGCTGGGTCCCCAGTTGGGGGAGAGAGGCAACCAGTTGCTGTTTCTCTTCCTCTCTTCCTCCCTTCCCCTCTAAAAATAAATAAATAAAATCTTTAAAAAATAAAATAAAATAGCCCTGCCTGGTGTGGCTCAGTGGATTGAGTGCTGGCCTGTGACCTAAAGGGTTGCTGGTTCAATTGCCAGTCAGGACACAGGCCTGGGGTGCAGGCCAAGTCCCTGGTAGGGGATATGTGAGAGGCAACCACACAATGTGTTTCTCTCCCTCCCCTTCTCCTTCCCTTCCCCTCTCTCTAAAAATAGACAAACAAAATCTTAAAAAAAGATTAGGGAGAAAAGCATATACTGGTACATAATCAGGAGAATGTGAGTTTGAATCCTGGCCCTAACACTGACCTATGCAATGCCAGCCGAGACAATGTACACAAAACTGTCAGACAATCCCTGGTGTGCTGCAGACACTATGTTAATGTTAGTTCTTTACCATTTCTACTGATATTCTATTATTTTTTTCAGCCACCCCCCTTCAAATATTCAAGTGATTTGTGAGTATTCACTAGTATAGCTATTAGACAAATATTTTCTAGGAAATCTCCTGCTATTTAGGATGTTGCTTTAATCCCAGCAGAAACTTCTCTGTGCAGAGTTAAAACTTCTAACAAATTGTGGCCAGGAAGCCCCTTGAAAACTTAGCATTAAGATGGGTGAATTTTCACCACAGGAAAAATGTTTATATTTCCTCAGGACATTGAGTGACTCATGTTTTAGTCTCTTTGGATTCTTGTTTTTGAAGACAACTTTTTTTTCCAACTAATTTAGGATATAAGGGTGAAAACAGGCAAAAGAATCAAAAACTTGGTTTAAACTTACATGGCTCAAATACACCTTAGTTAATAGTACAAGAAGCATATGGTCTCTAGGAAAATTCTCAACTTTGAGCCGTTCTTCTGTGCCCCGAGTCTAGTGAATGGAAAAGGTGTTTGCTAGTTCTGGAAGCAACTTTAGGCTTTTCTGTTTGCTCTGTCCTATGGCTGTGCTTATAAATGCCTTGAAAAGAATCCCCAAAGAATATTATCAAATTCAAACATTTTGTGTTCACAGTGTTATATTCCAATGTGTGGAATCAGTGACCTCCAAGTGAAACTGCACTACCCATATATGAAACAAGAATTCTGAAACAAGAATAAGGCAAGAGTTAGTTAAACACAGAGAGAAGGGAGGAAGAAGAGAAGGATATAGGAGTAAAACACAAAAATCATACTTTGCTAAACAAGAAAACTTGATGTTAGTCAACTCTGGAAGACATTAGAAGACCAACTTACAATTGTAAAACTGGTACATGAAGAGAAAGATTAATTATTTATCCTGACTTATCTATATGAAAGATATCTCATGGTAATCTAATTGCTGAAAAGGAAAAGTTTCTCTTTATAAAAGTATTTTAGTCAATAACTAAAGAAAAAATGATACAGTAATTGGAATACCCTCATTTTATAACCTCCAATAAAATAATGAACTTATGTAATAATGGTGTTACTATCACATACAAAAAAGACAACCAGACACTATTGCACCTCGTGATAGAAATACACAAGACTCTGAAGTATATTCTTGTCAGAAAGAAATTTTTTTCAAGCCTCTCAATCTAACTATCAACTTACAGAAAATACAGGGAACACAGAAACACATTTAAACTACATCAACTGGAATATAATCAGTAAAGTCTAGGCTATGGGAAACTATACTTGCCTGGATTAAAAAATCCAGTTTCAATAACAAATTTGAAAAGAAAAATGACGAAATAAATACTACCAAAAAAGCTTGAGTGCTAACTGGTTAACTGATTTGAAGAGACTATCCCTAATTTCTCTTAGGTGTAGTAATGTTTTTAAAAGTCCTACAGTTGATATATTTACAGAGGAAATGTGATATGTTATCTAGGATATGCTCCAACATAACTGAGAGCAGAGTGAGGAGGGGTATACATAAAACAGTGTTAACCAGGAGTTAATATAAGCCGAAGTTGAGTTACAATATATTGAATTAACTATGCAATTCTTTGTGCTTATTTTTTTTTCCCCGTAACAGAAAGGAGGAATAAAAGTCAATTGTAACATTTTATTTAAAACATGAACTTCTCTCAACACCTAAGGTTTAAGTCAAGTCAAATGTTCAATAGTTCTAGAAGCAATCATATGATTCAAACTCATGACAAGTTTCCTTAAAGTTAAAAAGGAAGTAGTAATGAATTGAAATCAAGAACTACATAATGTCTCATACTTAATCAACACATTATTTTATTTTAATTTTGCTCATGTTTTCCCATACAAGCAAGAAACAAGTATGAAAATCACAAGTCAGGATTCTGCTTTTTACGCAAATAAATAAAAAGGAAATAGTCATCCAGGCAGGTCCTCCAAAGCACATTATATTCCAGACACATAGAAGATTGTTTAGCCAGTTATCTCAAATTAGATACCAAAATATTATAATTTCATGGTTCTTACAAAACAATTTTATAATTCTTACACAATCAAAACAAAAAACTGATACATAACTGCGGAACACTAAAAACTGTCAGCCTAGGTTTAATTTAGGGGAAGGAATGACTGGCTTCCTCAGTGCAAAAGAAGGACAAGTGATATTTAGTTAGGCAATAATTTAGAAAGCTCTTCTTCTAAATACCATCTACTATATATCAATTTATTACCCTGAAGTCCCTGCTTCTTGGATTTTTTAATATGCACAAAATATGCAACACCAAGAGAGAAACACAGTATCTTCCTGGACTGTTCATTTTATTCAAAGATTTTTGGGAGGAGAAAAATTCTGAATTTTTGTGCTTTTAAAAAGCTTTGTCAAGTGGATTCACAAGCAAATCAACAGCATCTTGCTTTTCTATGTAGGGAACCATAATTTTAATGGTAAAAATCTGCAGAAATTTTTATACATAAATAACAACTGAGAAAATACAGTAAATCATTAGGTTGTTTTACAGATTAAAAAGGGAGAAAGTTTGCTTCTAGTTTTCCAAATGTCTGTCTGTCTGTCTGTCTGTCTGTCTATCTATTCATCTATCTTTCTATCATGAGAGGGGAAGGGAGGTTGAAAGAGAGGGAGAGAAACATTGATCGGTTGCCTCTTGCACACACCCGACCAGGGACTGACCCCACAACCAAGGCGTGTGCCCTGGTCAGGACTCAAACAGCGACCTTTGGCTTTGCAGGACAACACTCAACTGAACCACACTGGTCAGGGCTTCTTGAGGTCAATTCTAAACAGCCTTAGAAGGAATGAAGTTCTGATATATGCTACAACATGGATGAAACTTGAACATATATGCTAAGTAAAATAAGCCAGAAGCAGAAAAATATTTTAGGAGTTTATTTATATGCATATCGAGAATAGGCAAATTCATAGACAGAGAGCAGAGTAGAGGTTACCAATGGCTGGAGAGAGGAGGGAATAAGGAGTTACTGTTTAAACGGTACAGAGTTTCTGTCTGGGATGACAAAAAAGTTCTAGAAATTGATACTGATGATGGTTATGCAACATCAAGAATGTACTTAGTGTCAGGAATGCACTTAAAAATGGTTAAAATGGTAAACTTTATATTATGTATATTTTAGTACAATAGATAAAAAACCAAAAACAAAACCATGAACTTAAACAAAAACCCTTTTAAGGTGATGCCTTCTCTCTGAAAGTCATCATCCAATGCTCTTCCTGCCTGGCCTTACCTTATTCCCTCTATCCCACTTTACGGCTCATTTTCCTTCAATTTTAACTGAATCACAGACGAGGAAACATTTGTGTTATATAGCAGATTTCTCCTTCATAGCACTTACTGCACTTTGTTTAAATATTTACACATATATAATTTTCCATAGTACTTACATATACATTTTCCCATGATAATTATTCCCTGACTAGAATGTAAAGTTCCATGAGGACAGAGACAAGTATTGCTCACTCTGATTCTCCAGTACTTGGATACGTTCAACTGTTATTGGAACTCTGAATGAAAAGAAAGTATATGAAGCCTTGCTATGGTGATGCAGCCAAATTGTGGAAGATTAAAAAGATGCAAACTGAAAAAAGGTAACCTACTGATGAACGATATAAAATAATTCACTTTGACATGCTCCAATTACCTATGTGAACAATTGAAACTGAGGCTGGCCCTGGTCTTCATCTTATAATTAGAAATACTACATACTTTAATGATCTCACTGACACAATATATTTGTAATGATAGTGAAGGCTATAAAGATTATTTTAATTTACAAAGTAAAAATTAAATAAAAACTTATCAGTTTTTAATCAAGCAAGACATTCCCTGGGGAAAAGAAAAACACATGGAATCAAATTTATGAAAGGATAAACTGTTAGAAGCAAATCCAACACACTCTAAATCAGATCTCTCAACCTAAGTAACACTGACTATTTATGAGTGTGTCCTATTTAACCATTTTTAAATATACAATTCAGGGGCATTAACTACAGTCACAATGCTGTGCAACCATCATCACTACCTGTTTCCAATATATTTCATCACCCAAATGGAAACTCTGTATCCCTTACACATTAACTTCTCATTTCCCACACACATGGTGACCTTTAATCTATTTTTTATCTCTATGAATTTGTCTCTTCTAGATAGTTCAGGTAAGCGGAATCATACAATATTTGTGGTTCTATGTCCGGCTTGTTTCACTTAACAAGGTTTCACAAAGTTTATCATACTGTTGCATGTATCAGCACTTCATTCCTTTTATGACTGAATAATAGCACATTAAATGGGTATACTGTATTTCATGTATCCATCTATCTGTTGTTTCTACCTTTCCGGTAATATGAATTATGCTGCTGAACAGTGAAGTACACATATCTGTACTTATATTTGAGTCTCAGTTTTCAGTTCTCTTGGATATTTATGTAAGACTGAAATTAGAGAAGGGTCATAAGGTAAATTCTATGTTTAAGGTTTTGAGAAACCACCAGTCCGTCACAGCAGCTGAATCCCTTTACATTCCCACCAGAAATCTACAAGAGTTCCAGTTTCTCCACATCCTCACCAATACCTGTTATTTCCCTTTAAAAAAGACAGCTATTTTAATGTGTATAAAGGGGTATTTCCTTACAGTTTTGACTTGTATTTTCCCAATGATTAATGATGTTGAGAATCTTTCCGTGGGCTTACTGGCCATTTGTATTATCATCGTTGGAGAAATATCCATTCAAGTCCTTTGCCCTTCTTTAAATGGGGTTTTATTATTGAGTTATGGGAGTTCTTTAAACATTCTGCCTATTAACCTCTATCAGATATATGATTTATAACATTTTCTTTCATTCTGTGGGTTGTCTTTTCACTCTCTTGATAGTGCTCTTGATGCACAAGGTTTTAATGTTAGTAAAGTTCAATTAATCAATTTTTTCTTTCTTTAAAAAAAAGATTTTATTTACTTTTAGAGAGAGAAGAAGGGATGGAGAAAGAGAGGAAAAGAAACATCGATGTGCAAGAGATATGTGGATTGGTAGCCTCTCACACACCCCCAACGGGAGACCTGGCCTGCAACGCAGACATGTGTACTGACTGGGAATCAAAACAGAGACCTTTCAGCTCGCAGGCCAGTGACCAAGTTACACCAGCCAGGGTTCACTGTTTTTTCTTTTGTTGTCTAACCTTTTGGTGTTATATCTGAGAAACAATTGCCAAATTCAACATCATGTAGATTTTTCTCTATATTTTCTTCTAAGAGTTTTATAGTTTTTGCTCTTAAGTTTATGTATACAATGCATTTTGAGTTAATTTTTGTATATGGTGTAAGGTAATGGTCCAGCTTCATCCTCTTGCAAATGGATATCCTGTTTTCCTAGGACCCTTTGTTGAAAGGACTGTCCTTATAAATGTGGAGAGCAATGGGAACATATTTAACTATAACTTGATGTTTGCTACATTTTTAACATGACAAGACAGTTACCAAAACAGGAAATATGAAGAGCAAATAGTGAGCCAATTAGTATTTATTGACATTCCTGTACTATGTGCAAAGTCTAAGGCTTAGTGCCATAGGGATAATAAACATAATGTATAGTCTGTATTTTTTAGAAGCTTAAAACACCAGCCACGTTGACTGATTTAAGGCATGCATGAACCCAGGTCAAGTGAGTACTCTGGAAGTTTGGAGGAGGTAGCCATCACTGCCAGGTGGGGCGGAAGTTTTTCTTTATTGGCATTAGAGTTAATCCAGATATGTAAGTCATTTTTGAAAGGGCAAAAGAAAAATAGAAAACCAAAGTGTATATACATAGCCCCTTTCTATCATGTTCCAGGTATCTTCTGTTATTTTAATAAAATTTTTCATCAAATGACTAATAAGGTCAAATTTTAAAAACAAACGCAACTAGGACAATGAATCTGTTTCCAATGTTTATAAAAGAGTAACAGGAAATATGACAATTTTTCCTGTCTTTCATATTCGACAAGTTCAATGTATGGCATTTCCCTTATAATTCTTTTAAAACACAACATAATTGCTACCACTTAAATATCTTTGAAAACTCTTCCTCTTCTGTGGGCAGTGTATTCATATTCATCTTCATTTCAGTTAAGATTTTTAAGCAATCTGTTTCGCATTTTTTATTTTATAAGAAACTCTTAGGGAAAAAGTCACAGGTAGTATAGAACTTAATAAATACAAATGATGAATCAAAAAATAATTCAAATGATATTAGGAAGTCTTGAGCAAATGTACTACTCCTCAATGATAGATACCTGAATTAATTTAAGTGTGTGTGTATCTGTGTCTATGTGTGTGTCTGTGTCTAAAGAATGTTTTGTATGGGTTAAAATACATTTGCCATTGACCATGCAGTCCAAAAACTTTCCAAGATATACTTAAGCAAACCATAAAAAGATAACTGGTGCACCTAAAAGGAAGATCACAACATAAGAACCATATAGTCCACTACAATAAAGCCTGGTTTATGAAGAAATGTCTTGCCTTACTTTAGTATTGTAACAACCTAGAAAAGAAAAAGAGTCCTCTAAGAATAAACACCGAGTATTTATATTGAGGAGAGAGACCTTACATTTACCAGTCTGAGACTGATATATAAGCACCTGTTATGTGTTTATCAAATATATAAACACTGGTGAAATTTTATAGAGCAGTAGAGTTAACATCATCCATACTCCTTCTCCCTGCTACTATCTACATAGCATCAATTGCTTCATGGTACCTATGGCTTCATGCCTTCCTTCTGAATACCATTAATGAACAGAAAAAGCTCTAAAAGGTTTTAAATGTTTTTTAAAAAAAAATATAGTCAACTGATTTTAAAAAATTGTTTTTTAATGTATTGATTTTAAAGAGATAGGAAGGGAGGAAAGGAGGGAGAGAGACAGAGAAACATCAATTTGTTGTTCCACTTATTTATGCACTCATTGGTTAATTCTTGCATGTGCCCTCACCATGGATCAAACCCACAACCATTCTAAAAGGTGTGCTTTACCGTATTTTGCCGTGTATAATATGTTCCCACATATAATGCGCACCCACATTTTTGGCCCCAACTGCTAGGGGAAAAAAAAAATCTTTTGTTTTAATTTTTAAATTTGATTATTTATTTACTTATATTTAGATACGTGTTTTTTTGTATTATAAAGGAATTGTAGCATTTATTTTTGAACATACACATACCGTTATTGCTTTAAAGAGTTACACTTTTAATGTATAAGCATAAATAAAAGAATTTAAAAACATTTATATAGATACGGAATTAGTAATGCTATAAAGTGGTCCCTTTCTTTTCCCTCAAAAATTTAGGCTAAGTGCACATTATTCACAACAAAACACGGTGCTTGGAAATAGGCAACTGATGGCTTCATGAATTATCTACTGACCTGGTAAAACAAAGTACACAGACAGGTTAATTTTAGACAAATATGAGAATGGACATCTTACCCACATGCAGGCCTCAATCCTAACTTTTGAGATGATGCTCCACAGAGAAACGGATCCTTCTATGCCACCTTCATCTGGACAAATAATCTGATCAGGATAGGGTGGTTCAGGGAAATTAACTGAATTGCATTCATAAGCAGCTAATGTAACTGAAGCTATGTGTGGACCCTATAAAACAAATGTGAGAAACCTGATTAGAAATATTAATGACAAGGGAATCGTTAATACACATGCTATTTTAATAGTATCTTAATCGCTATATATTAACAGAAAAAGCCTAGCTTTTAAAGAACAAGAATTTATTTAACTAAATATTTCAAGATATAGATGGTAATTTCAAAATCTCCTTCCCAGAATTTCCTCCTGGTTTGCTTTAAAAAAAAAAAAAATCAGATTTATTGATAATTTATATATAATAAGAGTCACTATTTTAGGCCTACATTACGTGAGTTTTGACAAATATATTCAACTGTACAACAACAATGAATCATGACAGAAAGCATCCCCATCACTGAGAAAATTTCCCTTGTGCCCTTTTGTACTCAGTCTCCATCTCCTAACACTGGCCCCTGGAAACCATACGATTTCTGCCTTGATTCTGATTTTATTTATCTTTATTTCTCATTTGTAAGAAGGTTATATCCCCATTTGACAAAAACTTCCTGTGCTACTACTCTTTTAGGCATAATTTCAGAATATCACTTTTTGTCCTTAAAAACAGTTGGTAAAATAATTACTTCACTTATCTTTCTCACTGAGATCCTAAAAAACACTGGACCCAGTATCAGTGAGTTTTCCTTTTAAAATAATCTTTTCTGTGAAAGCTTTTGTGCTTTGTACTTTTATTTTCAAATATTAACAAATAAATAATAATCATATAGATTAAAATGGGTTAATAATGCAATAAAGGCTTAAACACAAGAGTTTCCTAATATACATACATGCCAAAGTGAGGCTTCTACATAAGATTCAACTTGGGAGTTTGTCAAAAATATAAATTCCTGGGTCTCCTAAGCACAGATTGACTCAACAGGTAGGAGTAGGAACCTGTTATGTTATAAACAAGCTCCTTCAGAGTTTCAAATAAGTTAGGTTCTAATAGGCTAAGTCCAGGAATCACTGAGAAAACAGTAAACTAAGGGTCAGAAAATAAGCAACCTCAGACAAGTCACTTGTCTCAGTCTACTCTTCTGCAAGGCAAGAGAATTAGACTCATTTTATGGTCTATCCAGCTCCAAAATCCAAAAACTCAAAATATAATCAAATATGTCAATAAAAATTCAATGCTAATTTCCAAAGTTCTCATGAGGTATAAGATCTAAAAGCTGGACATTCTTAACACGTTGCTTTAACACACACGATGTAAGTATTCACTTGAAAGCATACTGCAGACAAAGTTTATAGGGCAGTAGTCATAAGCATAACTGCCAAAGCCATATGTTCTGGTTTAGGTAGTGGCCTCTGCCCCTTACCCTCTGAGTATTGCTTTGCTCATCTATAAAATGGGAGTAATAAAATGCCATCAGGATCTATATTCTGAAGATGTTGTAAGGTTTAAATTAGTCAATTCATATAAAGTGTTCATCTTAGAATGGTGCTTGGCATATAGTAAGCCCTCAAAAAGCACCAGCCATCAGTTGTTATGAAGAAAGATACTGTATTTGTAGAATTACATATGCACATACACACATACGTATGTATATACAGATACATACATACAGTAAGTGGTCTCTGTATTTCAAATCACATAGTAAAAGAACTTGTGGTTCAAAGGCAGTATATAAGATATGGTGACAAAAATAAGACACTAAAGAACTCCTACTGCTATCAAGATAAAAGTCAGTATAAAACAAAATTATTTGTTGTATGCTAATATGAAAAAAAAGGATTTGTAAATCTAAGCTACATTTCTCCCTAAATGCAATAGGTATTTTTGTTCAAATAAAATAAAAAAAATTAAGTTCTACACTTAACATTGAATCAATTAGTTATTAGGTTTTTCTGAACCAAAGAAAATCGACGTGAAGTTTTAGTTGGTTCCTCTTTTTCTTGAGGTTTGTTTCAGAACAATCCATAAATGGTAATATTTAAGTTCTAAAAATAATTACAGTTTTTTAAAAGAACGTTTTTGAGAATTCAGGTTAAAAAAGTTATTAGCCATGATATATACAACTGTTTCTTTGAATACTATGTGCATAAGAGATTTCACAAATAAGGGAAAGATAATTATTTTGTAACCTTCAAAAAACTCTCTCCCAAGTTTAAAGTTTGGGCAATTCAAAATAATTGAACAGTGAAAAATTTTTCACTGTACACTTACAGCAAAGAATCAGATACAGTTTTTAAAAAAATTTTAACTTGCATCTTTATTATTTGAAAACACGAAAGAAAAATGTGATACCAGTAAGTAAAACAAACAAAAAGAAAATTCAAGAGTTCGTCCATAATATTGCCACACAACTGTGCCCTGTAGACTACAGAGACAGCCTACCCCTCGACTCTACAACAAAAGCTGAACTATCCTGGAAGATAAAATAATGAGATTTCTGGGATATATAAAAAGGAACAAACTACATTTCTATTATAAAAATATAGATAAAATATGCAACCCATGAGATTAAACACATTACCTAAAAATACAGAGGACACTGATAGTTAATTTCAAAAAAGGGAATGACTCTAAAAAGGGAAAATTTCGGCCATCTGATGAGAATTTTTTCCTAAAGATAGAACAGTTCATTCATACAACTAAACTGATATATACTTTCCATAACCACACTAATAAGTCATCATTACTCAGCCTTAAAGGCAGATGTGGTGGTTCCCAGACAAAATGAACACATATAACTCAGCTTCTTGTCCTTTGTTCATTCTCAAGAGTCCACTTAGCCTGCACCTTGACATTTTAGTTTAAAGTATGTTAACTGAGGGGAAACCTCACAAATTCTTTTAATGTTCTTTTAAACATTACAGGTTAATGATTCCTAAATATGACTGACTTAACTGAAATAAATATTAGTTTACATGAAAAAAACCACAAACAAAAATCACTTTTATTAAAGGAATTTTAAAAGTTATACATATTCAACTACCTTTTAAGTGTATTTTCTAAAACCTACAAGCCCTATTACTATATATCAAATATGAAACACTCACATTTTAATCACACTGAAGGAAAAAACATGGGATAAGGACAAACAGCTATAGTAAAAGTAGGAGAAACTACCTTGATAAAACATACAAATCACACAGTGTTCCAGCTTTCAAGGAAGCATGCTGGTACTGGTATGTATTAGCTAGAGATCCTGGCCTGTGGCTGAGGGTTTTCCGCCGCAGGTCACAAAGTAACTGGTACAGACTTTCACTCCTAGAGCAAACAACTAGAAAACTGGACAAAACGTATGGAACAATTCTTTTCAGATACTTCACCACAAGCAGTACAGGACTTGACTGCTGAGAGAGGGGATACAAGTAAGGAAACCCTATGATGACTCTGACTCTTGATTTGTACATATGCTTTGTGTCTACATCAAAGTTCAGGGTCCAAAGAGGAGAGCCCCAAGCCCAGCACGGTGGTCTTGCTGAGATGAGAAGGACATCTGAGTTCAGGGAGGCTGAATACCTGAAATTTGTGGGGCAGAATACTAGTGAAGAGGGAGCTATGAGGGTCCCCTTGAGACTTTGGCATACAGAGCTGCACTGCATGCCAGGGTGAGATTCCGAGAGGCCAGGCAAAGTACAACCAATGGGAAAAGAAGCAACAGGGAAGTGTAACCTGAATAATTCCTAGAGCTCATACAGGACTGGGAAACAATTGAGCTTCAATCAGCTAGAGAGAAGAGAGTCAGCATTAAGGGAAGACCTTGGAAAGAGACTGGAGTAAAACCAACTCAAGAGAGCCCACAACAGGAATTTTTAAAAACCCTTAAATAGATCTAGCAGATCCACAGGTAACTTAACTGCACCCCACAACAAAAAAAATGAATGCTCTATAAAGGAAGACAACAAAATCTGTACAATCAACAGTTTAATACCACATGCCCAGCATCCAATAAGAAATAACTAGATATGTAAAGCGAGAAAATGTCATCATAACCAGAAGTACTATTAGTCAAAAGAAACACACCCAGAAATGTCAGAGACAATGGGATTAGTAGGCAAGAACTTAAAACAGTGAATATAAATATGTTCAATGATTTAAAGCAGCAGTTGACAATTCCAGCCCCATGGGCCAAATCTGGCTCAACGCCAGTTTTATAAAGTTTCAAAGAATACAGCCATGTGAATTCATTTACATGTCGTCTCTGGCTACTTCTGTGCAATGATGAGCAGCTATGACAGAGACTCTGTGGGCTACGAGGTCTGAAATACCTACTGTTGGCCTTTTATGGAAGAAGTTTGCTGATCCCCGATTTAAAAGAAAACATAAATCTAATGAGGAAAGAAACAGAAAGTATGAAAAATGAAACTTCTAGAGCTATAAAATATAATATGTGAATAAAAAGATTCACTAGACAGATTATCAGCAGATTAGATACTGCAGAAAAATGTTAAAGAACTTGAAGACAGGGCAATAGAAAGTATTCAAACAGAGGTGCCCTGGCAGGTGTGACTCAGTGGATTGAGAGCCGGCCTGTGAACCAAAGGGTCAACGGTTCGATTTCCTGTCAGGGAACATGCCTGGGTTGTAGGCCTGGTCCCTGGTGGGGGCATGCAAGAGGCAAAGACATATTGATGTTTCTCCCCCTTTCTTTCTCCCTTCCTTCCTGTCTCTCTAAAAATAAATACATAAAAATTTAAAAAATAAGAAAGTATTCGAATAGAGAGTGAAGGCTACAAAAGAAACGAACCTCCATAACCTGTGAAATAACACCAATCAGTTATAACACTAACAGACATATGGTTGGAATCCTAGAATGATAAGAAAAGGTGTATATGTTGGGGGAGGGTTATGTTAAAAAAAAAAAATGATGAAAGAGTGGCCAAAATATTCTCAAGATTTGATGAAACACTTCAGTCCACCAACTCACAGACCAACAAACCTCAGTCAGGATCAAGACAAAGAAAATAAAACACATCAAACTACTACGAATCATAATCACATCATAATCAAATTTTATAACCCAGTAATAACAAGAAAATCTTAAAAGCAATCAGAAGGGATAAAA